ATCATCATTTTTCTTCTTTACTTTTCTGATTTCTTATTTTCTTAATTCCCTGACTTAAAGGATTTTGAAGATATGAAAAAAGTCAATGAACAGGAATAGAATAAAACTAGAACTTAACAGTGTAAAAATTATTTAAAATTGATATCTACTTACCAGTCATCATTATTAAAGACAATGAATCCTTTGTTTCCTCTTCCAAAAGCCACTTGGTTGCTACCATTATCCCACCAGTTTTGAAAAGGCTGGCCATCAACCACATTTCGGAAAATAACCATGTTTCTAAAAGCATAGTATCATATAAAATGTTGCTATTCTTAAACTCAAACAGTTTAAAGTAAAATGTTAAGGAAAATGTTAGAGGATATGTATTACTCTTACCTTATTTGGCGCCATCGATGTTCACAGACCCAGTCATTGCCACAAGTAGTGTCTGGATTAATAGTTACTTCTTTAGTCACTCCATTATTATTTGGTGGTCCAACCCAATCATTAACATCCTTAATTTAAACAAAAACAGATTTTTAACACACACACATCTATCTTTCACTTCCTTCATTATACTAAACTCAATTAATTGGTCCTGCTATTTGTCTCTGCAGTGTCTTTATTTAGAATACATCATGTATACAATTTTTATAGACCTTTACTGAATTTTTAGAATCTCTGTAAACTCTGTTTCTCTAGGTATCTGTCTGAATTATACAGAAGGGATTTATTTTAGATATGAAGTCTCTTTAATGATGCTACTTCTGAAATCTTTAGTTTAAAAAGAAAACCCTCACTTAACTTTTAAAGCATCTTCATAATTTACTTCTCAGTTCAGTTTTGAAATTGATATTTGGATTAATGTTTTTACCATATCCCTGATATTTTTCTCATACTTATCCTGAAGTGGTCTGGAATTTTTTAATTCTGTAATGTATATCATTTCATTCAACTTTTAAGATATTTTCCTCATTTAACTTCAGCTCAGCTGAACCATTTCTTTGCACACCATAAAACTTTTATAAAAAAATATTTTCATAGTATTCATTTCTTATAATAAAAGCAGGAACTGATTTAAGTTCTTGATAAGTTTTAGCATGTGTAATCCTCATATCAACTCTATGAAATTGGGTACTTATGATAAGTATATACTTTATACCCTGTAACTTGTTCTTTTTCATAAGTTTCTTTTCTTCGTGTGTGGATATCTGTCCTATTACTGAACAGTTTTCATACTCTTTGAAAAAAGAGAACATAAATTTTATGTATTTAATATCCTTTCCATTACAAAAATCAGAGATCAGCATTATGTTTCCATTTAAATAAATACTTGATGATAAATATTGAATGCAACAAACTCATGAGAAATTAAAAGAAAATTACCTACTTCTTTCTTGAAAAAAAGATATTTTGAACAAATTCAAAACTTACTTGTCCATTCACAAAATATCTTGGCCAACGGTAGCTTGACATTACTCGTGTAAATCCATAAGGATGAGCAAGCATAAATCCAACTGCCATTTTATACAGCCTGAAAATTATAAAAATATATTACAATCGAAGAATAGAATATTATTACTCTCATTAAAAGGTGAGTTTTTTTCCTACCTTGCATCCCAGAAGGTAAGAATGGATGATCCTCCAGCTCCATGTCCTCGTTGGTTGTCATGGTTATCCACAAAGACTAGAGCTCTGTCTGAGGGCA